AACACGAGCAATTTCGTAAAATATTGCGAAATGATAAAGTGCTTAGATTAGGGAGAAGTTTTCTTGTTTAGTTCTTCGAGATACGAGCGCTAATTTTGAAGTCGTGGTATCTTAATTTGCTCCTGAGTACCTAAAACGCGACAGTGGCTTGAAACCAAAATTAGATCCTTCTTTCAAATACATCTTTTTTCTTAATGCTCCCCGACAAAACAGCATAGTTTATAGTTCTAGTAGTTAAGCTAAGTACTGGATGTAAAAAAAAAATGATAACACTTTAATAACTTTTGATATAATAATTGGACATGCACTCGTACATTAAGTCAGTTTTAACGGTTCGAGTTCATAAAATTAAATATACTAATTAATTAGTTCAGATTATATTTTAAGTCAGTAAATAAAACTCCAAAACGTGATTTAATTGAATTAACATGACTTTTTCTCTCAACAGATTTCAATTCTTGTTTCACAAAATATTGATTGTTACCACAATCTTGATAATGTGGACCCTAAAGATTAGACAGGAGAATGGTCTGAAATTTTGGACAAATTTTTTTGCTTCTAAAATTTGAATGTTAATTTTTTTTGTTGCGTATTTTACCCTCTAAGACAATTAGAAATTTTAATCTTTTGCCTCCGGAAAAATTCGAGAGATTTTCTTCATATTTTGAATTTTTTAAATTAAAAATTATGTAGATTAAATTACTGTAAAAATTTGTATATCCTACAATAAAAATTTTTTCGATAATTTTTAAATGAAATGATTCGCGCTGGCTCAATAGTTAGGGCGATGGATTGTCAATATGAAGGACAGGAGCTCATTTTTGCGTTGGTCATGAAATCGTAGGTCCACAATCTCCATGCCCCCTCAGCCCACAATGGATTGCTACAGGAAAGCTTTTTAGTAAATTAAATAATCAAAACTAATGATAAAAATAATGTTTTACATAGAATTATTTTTGACTTAATAAATTTTGTAATTGTGCGATAAATGTCTTTGATTCCTTCATTAGTTCGGAAATATGGAGAAACGAGTAAAATGTATATCATAACTTTCGACCGCTCTCCTGTTTGAATTATTGGGACCATGTTTTGACGATTTCAGCTATAGATAATTATTTGTTGTTGTTGTCTAATGAAAATGCCAATACTAGCAAGCCTGATTGGTGAAACCAAGCAAATTTAAGACAGAGAGAGGGTTTCTTGTTTTTCAGTAGAGCCATCTATGGCTAAGAATATGATTTTAGCTACACACACGTCACAGCACGTTTTACAGGGAGGGCTCATTAATACGTCTATTTATTTATCCACAAATAGTAATTTTGACCTGAACGAGAGAACGATCACTCTCCAATTCAGTACTCCCAGAAGTTTTATTTTGTTATGGGAACTTGGAGGATTTTGTGACCCAACAGATTTAATGTGCATTAGTCACCATTTTTTTACACTGGGGCATAGTTATTTAACGATAAAGAATCTAAACACGTCGGAAAATTCCTATTTATTCATAGAAAGTTCTTTTTTGAGTTTGATTTAAAATATTTTATGCACTAATTAATTAGCATATTTAAGGTTAGAATCTCGGGAAAATCTTAATATTTGATCAAAAGTTATTAAGGTATTATTCCAGCCTTATATACGTTGCTTTATTAAAAAGGATCTCACAAATTTTATTTGAAATAAAAGCTAAAAATATAAATTTTTCCAAGGATTTCATTATTAAATATCGAATTGTATGTATTCATTAATTATTTTTATGTCATAAAGATGGCAAATATGGTAAAAATATGCTGCAAATTATTTTAAAAAAATTGGATATAATTAAACATAGATTCTAGTCACATTTACTTTTTGGGAAAAAATCTGGAATAAGTAAAAGTGTTCTTTCAGATTTTCATACAAGCTGTTGTTACAAATTTTTTTTTTTGTAAAGTTTATAGACTTAGTCCATAGTATCCAAAAAAGTCATAATTGAGGAGAGAAAAACTGAACATTAGATTTTATTTTCTGCAAAGTATTAATTTGGAATAAATTTTTTTGCAAATAATACGACTAATTTATGCAAAATTTTGCTTTAATAAATATATGATTAGATATTAATATCACTGATGCGGCATGGACCATATAGCAGTTTTTTTTTACATCTTTTGTTATTTGTTACACATAGAAGTTTTGAAGTTTTGTCTTCCGTTATTTTATCGAATTATTTTTTCCTATTTTTGTGAATTAAAATTACTTTTCTTTAAAAAATAAATCGAAGTTCAATTTTTGCACTATTTTGGAATTGAAATGTAATAATTGTTTAAATATTAAAAAAAAATAATTTATAGAAGTTCAAAAAAAACTCTAATATTAGATGCTGAGAAAAATATTATGTCGAGGAAAGCTTGTTTTTAAGAATGAAATAACAATGCGGAACACGGTTTTTGTTGCATATTTACAAATACTTAATCTTGCCTAATTTGGGTGTGGGGATTTCAAATCTTATATATGGTTTGCTCATAAAGATACAGTTTTTTTAAAATGACATTTTTAGTCTATTTTTGGTTGAAATGTACAAGTTTAAAAACGTCATTTATAACTGGAGGGGGAGGGAGGGTTGCATAAATGTTGCGACAAACTTCTAGGAGAGTAAGGGCACATCATCAGGATCAAACTTTCATGGAACCCATGACCGGAAATGTCACTGTACTCGGATAGGGGTGCTTCCACTACTGTGAACTGTTCAGAAGCACACGAAGAAACATTTCATAATAGGGAAGTGCCCCTATCGGCATATGACGATATTTCCGGGCATGGGTTCCTGTTCACTTTCAATCCTGATAATGTGTCTTAAATCTCTCAGAAGTTTGTCGCGACATTTATGCGCTCCCCTGTTAAGTATAGCTAACGAAAAGTATGTACGAAAAGTATGCCCCCCTGTTAAGTATGTACGAAAAAACAACTAATTTGGTTAGAGGAACCGCTTGCAGATTTGAAATCGCGATACGAAAGTGTCTAAGATCTGTTAAAAAATCTCGTGTATAAAAACAAATGTCCCCCAATCTAATTAATTATTTTAAAATCAAAGAGTAAAAATGGAAACATCATGTATTTTTTTTTCACTTTGCAATGAGTCTTCCAAAATGTAGCCTTTTTTTTTTAAAAAAAAAAGTAATATTAAGAAAAGTGCTTTAAGCTAAAAATTTCTGCATGATATGCCCTTTCTAGTGATATGCTTCTTAGTATGTATATTTAATTATTCATCCATTTGAAAAAAATTTGTATAATAATTTGTTCATTTAATGATATAATATTCCTATCTTAATAATTTCAATAGTGATAATTTATTTGACTTCGTTATTTAGGTTTCCGATATTAATTTAACTCAAACAGGATATTATCTTAAAACTAAGGATAATAATTTCATTCTGAGAAAAAAGATAATCTAGGAACGAAATTGTGATTCTAGGTATGATAATTATCTTCTCTGGAAAGTATTTCAACAATTTTTCGCAAATTGAAAATCTGGGAAGAAAAAGTTAATTTTCCCTTGCACTGTTTTTCTTTCATTTCGTTCACTGTACGATGCTATGGAACATAAGTTATTACAACTGTATGGAGTATTTTTTAAAAAAAATATTTTTTGTTGGTATTTTCAACATGTCTAAGAACCTTGAAATGAGGGTTTAGTTTCCCACGTGTTCTTTCACAAATAGAAAACATTCTCTTAAGTGCTTGAATCTTTTTTTCTTTGTACCTGAAAACAAAGAATGCGGTCTTTACAGAAAAAGTGAAAAAAAAATTTCAGAAGTTTTCTGTAATGAGCGTAAAGACTTTTTGTCATTTCTTTGTGCCACATGACACTTTGTTTTAAAAATAAATCTGAAAGTCTCTCGTATGCTAAAAAATAACGAAAATTTCATTCTGTCTTTACTTACAAAGCGAACTAAAATCTATGTAATATCTGTATTACTATTGTTTTTCTTACTGTACATTGTTTATTCGATCCAAAAAATAAAATGAATAATTTTAAATGTTAAATACTTAAAGTATTTAGAATAACCCTTGAAATAAATGAATTAAATTTCTTCTCTTGCTCAAAACTTAATTAAAAAAATGAATATAAATTTTCATTTAAAACTACTTTTTAATATTAAATTGCTTATTATAAAATAATTAAAATGCATGTTTTTACATGAGTTTTTTTTAGAAAAGCTTTTTTATTTGTATGAAAACTCAGGGAAAATTATTGATGCATTCAAAAGATTTGCTGAAACTAAACTGAACTAGCTGATTAATTGGAAATAAAAACAAACAGTGTTCCATTAAATTATTTATATAACCTTGAAATAACTCTTAATAAAATAAATCATACTTTTTCACTTTTTTTTGTTGTGAAAATAATGATAGCTAATATTATGTCTAATATGAAATGGAATTTTGATTAGCACACAGTTGCTTATGATTGTTTATATTTATCATGTACACAAAGTAATTAGTCTTGAGAATTCGTAAAAATTAATTTTAAAAGGGGCGATAATTAAACGGTTTTACCATCCATTTTCAATTTTGGAGCTAACGCTGTTCGCCACTATAGAGAAAATACGAATTTATGTCATAATTTTCTCTGAAATTAGTGAATTGATTTTAAAACAGATTATTTTTGCAATATAAAAATACTAAAAAATAAAATAAAATTAATTAGTAGATTTTGCTTTTCTACAAATATTTTCGTTACTTTTTTTTTTATTGATTTTTGAAGTTCGATGTTAGCGAAAGAAAAAAAAAGGACATAAAAATTTCTTTGAGGAATTACTTTAAAAGTCAACTCTTCATATTAATTTTTTTAATTCGATTTATCAAATACAAAAACACTGAAATAAAATGGAATCACATTTTCCTGAGATAACTGTGCCATTAATTTACATTGTTCTGAGATAACTGTGACATTAATTCACATCTTAACCACTGACTTAGCATTGGCAGTGGGTTTTAAGTTGGTTGGTGCATGTACTCAGACAGAATTAAAAAATATATTTATTGCTGTTTAGGAGAAAATATTGTTTGAGAAAAGTTATTGTATGAGAAAATAACTCTTGTATAACAGTTCAAATAACATAAACTAATTTCGTAGCTTGAATTGCTTTTTGAAAAAGAACTGGCATAAATTAAAAAAAAAAACAAAACAAACTTGTAGCATAAAAAGAGGTACAAAATACGGTAGCCAAATATGTGTATATATAATGCAAAGTACAAAAGTTTTATTGTAATAGAAGAATATATAATTCAAAAGTTTTATTATAACAGAAGAAAACACACACGCACATACAAAAGAAAGTTGAAAAAGTTGTGATATATGATGTGTTTTAATTTAGTAATTTTTTTAGAAACAAGGCTTTAAATTTCACCCTGTTATTTTTGGTTCGCCCTCAAAACTTTCTTTGAAAATACTTAAAGAAATTTTTATGTTCAAGAGTGCTTCATGGTACACAAATCAAGAATACTGTGACATTGAAAATTGCATTTAAATGAAGGAAATACATTTATAAGAGAATTTAAATATATTCCAAAACTTTTAAGATAACACAATATCACTAAACAAAAAATACAAATAAATATGTTTGGCACACATGTAAATTCAATCAATGAAAAATAATCTGCTCATGAAAATAATATTTTAAACTTATGCTTGTGCGGAGAGTTCATTGTAGGCAAGTTTAATATTCTTTCATATCTTTTAAATTATTTTTTTACACAGTTTATTCCATAATATAATATAAGTTATTAGAACTCTTGTCGAAATTGAAGTTCGAAAAGTACACAATGAAAGTCAGAAATTTTCAAGCAAGGAAGAACAAAAATGGTTTCAGAATCAAACGAATTTTCGCTGAGGAAGGCGAGGCTGAAAAAAAACCCTTGTTTGATTGGTGAAATAAACAGAGTGGAGTAAAAAGTCAGTAATAAGAATGATCTACAAATTTTACCTGGCAATAAAACATGTTTTGATATTTTTCAGCCTACGTTTCCTGTTGGCAATCTAAAATATCTCGATAGCGTGTTTGCTTTTCCAAGCTACAATATTAATTCGAAACAAATAACGTGCACCCCTTTTTTACTTCACGTTTGACAAAAATACTGAAAAGCTATATAAATGATGGCATGTAAAACAATGAAATTTTAAAAGCATACATCAAGGGTGGTCATTGCAAAACATCCATTTTAAAGCGATGCTATTTTAAAATAAATGTATTACTAGTATCGAAAGGGTTAGTAAAAGAATTGAACTAAATCTTTTGGGGTGTGCTCAGTAAATAAGGTACAGATACGAAATCTCAGAGTTTGGGTTAAAGTGCAGTATAAGAAGGAAAATTGTATAAAGTGTACATTAATTGGAGATGCTTATACTGGTTGTTAGAAAACACATGAGTTTGTACAACTTACAAATTTTAAATAGATCTCACGAATATTACACAAGAGTTCCTTTATTCCTTCTGTTCCACTGTGATGTCAGAAAGTTTCTCTAAAATTTTTTCACTCAGGTGATTAAAATCAATAGGATCCATGTTGCTCTTAATAGAACTTAATACAAACCAGTCACCAAAATTTCCATTTTCCAAAAGATCAGTATAAGCTGTCCTCCCCGGAGCGTTCTTGAAGACCACACGCGACAAACTAAAAGGCAGCATTCGATAATAAGGAATGCAAATATTGAGCAACATATTAGATAGATTAAAAACAGATAAAAACAACAGAAGTGTGAACCAGAACCATATGAAAAGATACATTTTAACATTCAACGCATTCAGTGGCAAGACACATATGGCGTCGATGATGTCGATATTACCACCAGCACCATATTTTTTGAAATAGCAGCTTGAAACTAATGGGAATAAATGTATAGGATCCTGCATCCAATGTGAATTTTGATGAGAAGTGTAAAACAAACCTAACCCAAAAAACTCACCATGGAGGAATATATCGACAATATAAATCTGAACTATGAGGTTCATGAACGAAAGCACTTCACACGCAACGTACAAGATGATGTATTCTCTGTGGGTTCCCCATCTTTCTTCAATGTAAGCTGCAGCTTCTTCAAATGGGGTGGATGAATGTGATTCCGTATCTTTCTTTTGCTTTTTATCATAGTTGATGATGAGATGGTATAATCTGTCCATTCGTTTCCATTCCACACTTTTCCAGACCAGATGTGGCAGGTAAAAGAAAAGAGCTTGAATGAACAGGCATAGGTATATGTATTGGTAGTAATTTTTGTAGATTAATTCGGATTTTTTCCCGGATAGACTGATTCCTGGATATGGAGCTTTAAATCCCGTCTGGAATAAATCATAAAATAATAATTTTTTTTGTAACTAAATATGAAACTGTTTTTAAATGTTGCATTTAGAGTAAATATCATAAGGAGTAATGTCTGGTACTGATAGCTTAAAAATAAACCTTACGCTCAAATAATAGTTTGGAAAAATGGCTTTTTGTGACGAATAGCTTTCATAATTTATTCAGTTAGTAATTTTTTTAGAAAGCCAATTTTTTTTAAAAATTTTTCTTTATTAGAAAATTTAAAAGTATACCGAAGAGAGAAGTTAAAATTGTTTATACTCACGAGTTAGTAATCACAACTAATATTGGAGGTAGCGATTGATTTGATGTAGGCATTGTGGTTACTATTACAAGAGTGGCACTGTGGTGGTGACGACTAACTCTCTCTTTCTCTCTCTTTTTTTTTGAAATTTTTCTTTCGGTTGTAGTTGGTCGTGACGACCGGTGGCTGAGTGGTAGTGTTTCGCGCTCCCATGCCACAGGTCCTGGGTTCGATCCTCGGACCGGGCAACGTTCCTTAAGTGGGTCGATAAATTTGTACGAAGCATGATTGGAAACTAAACAGTGGGAGTTCCGCGTTCGCCTGACCATCTGACCGGAACATCTGCTCCTGCACCCCAGAGCTCAAGGTCAAGATAACTGAGATAGGCACAGTAGGCCTTGGCCCTCTATGGGCTGTCGCTCCACGGAGTTTAGCTTGTAGTTGGTCGCAAATATCATGCAAGCTTGTATTTCTTTAAAAATTTATTACCCGAGTTTAAGAATCAATTTTTTTTTTAAATTTAAGAACAGGAGCGGATTGTTAAACGCTGCTGGATTGGAAAATGGAAAATCGTGGCCGGGATTCAACCTTTTATCTATGGTTCTGTATTTTTTTATTCATAATTCATATTAGATTTTGTAATATTGCGTAACGTCTCGCATGCTGAAGTACGTAGGTTTTGCGCCACGCAGTTACCATGCAACAACATCGATTTTATAAAGAGCTCACGCAGAGCCTTGCATCAAAGCAGACGATTTTTATGTGTCATTAACAGAGAGGGTCAAAACATTTCTTTGTTATTATTCTTTCCTTTACAGAGAAAAAAAATGCTGGTAAAATTATAGTAAATTGTTTGTATAGTAAAGGTAGTTCTGGTGAAAAAACTGCTATTATTCTGGTGATAAAAACCAAAACATGCGGCATTTAAGCCATTCATTTGGTAATTTTTCCGTTCATATGGTAATGATTTTACCAGAAATTCCGATTTTTAAAATTATAGTGTTTATTACTACATATTTAGCAAAAAATACAAAACTGTGAAGTAAATTTAACCGAATAAAGAATTTTTATGCTATGCTCTGAGGTATCATGATAAAAATGCCCAATTTTACATTTACCAAATTTTTTCACATGTTATAAAATCATGTTATATTGCTAATTTTACTAAAATTATTACTAAAGCGCTTCGATAAAAATTACTGAGCTTTTTCATGTTTCCGTAAAGCCATAAATAAATTTTACCGTATTTTGGTAGTTTTGACCATACTTATTTACTCAGTGTCTGAAAAAGCACCATAACATAGATGAATCAATAGATAGGGATAGAATAAAAGAAAAACGGAATTTAAAATGTAGAATTACTCAAAATTAAAAATGTAAATTAAAATTAAATGTAACTGTAAAACTAATTTCCTTTTTGAAAAACCAAATTTTTTTGTAAATTTTTAAAAGCAACAAAACATTTTGCTTTCGGAACATAATTGCTAAAGAATGGAAGAGTGCAGAAAAAATTAAATCAATAATTTTTTTAAATAATAATACAATTAATTTTTAAATAATATTGCTCTGCTGTTAAAAGAACACTATTATATTAAAAAACTATTATTTTTGAAGTAATAAGTATCATAAATTTGAACAGGTCATATTTTACATGATGATATCAAAGCGCAAAATTAAAGTTTTCAAGGAAAGATCTTGAAAAAAAAAATTGCAAATTTTAATTTAAGGTAGTTCATGAAAAACTAACTAAAATTTTTATCATTATATTTTTATCTGATAATATACAACTTTTTAATTAAAAAAAATAATAAAATGTGGAATTAATCAAAATTGAAAATGGAAATTAAAATTAAATGCAAACATGAAATTAATTTACTTTTTGAAAAACAGCATTTTTTTAAAAATTTTTAAAAGCAACAAAACATTTTGCTTTCGGAACATAATTGTTAAAGAATGGAAGAGTGCAGAAAAAATTAAATCAATAATTTTTTTTAATAATAATGCAATTAATTTTTAAATAATATTGCTGAGCTGTTAAAAGAATACTATTAAAATAAAAAACTATTATTTTTGAAATAATAAGTATCACAAATTTGAGCTGGTCATATTTTACATGATGATATCAAACCACAAAATTAAAGTTTTCAAGGAAAAATCTTGAAAATTTCATTTTTAAAATATCAAATTTTAAATTAAAGGTAGTGCATGAAAAACTAATTAAAATTTTTATCATTATATTTTTATCTGACAATATACAACTTTGTTATTAAATAAAAATAATAATGATTAAACGAAAAAAAATTAATCTGTTTTTCTTTTTTCCGATTGAAAATCATACCTCATTTAAGTAGGCTGTGCTGACAGAATACGTTGAGGATACCCAGCAGTAAGATTCCAGCAAAGCTGAATTGATTTTAGTATTTTCACCAGCAAGACAATGTATTTTCTCACCGACAATTTGATTAGTTGTAATTAAGATCGAGAATCCTATCAGTATTAGGAAGGTTACTCGATAATGAAGATAAAATACAAAAGTTTCTGAATTGCGTCGATGGGCATTCATTAAATTCTTTAGACTGTACAAGACCTGAAGCATGTTGGCACTCTTTCTAAAAGTGTAAAAATAACATTTGAAACCAATGTATCGAATGTTATAAATGAAACTCAGTTAATTAAGAATTAATTGGAATTTATAGAGCAAAGATATTTCAAATTGATTGACAAATGATTGTTCTATTGAAGAACGGAAAGATGAATTTAGAAAATAGTAGGAATTCATAAATAATAGAATAATAGTAATTTAAACATATACTTTAAAAAGTAAAGTCAGTAAAAAGTACCGGCACTCGGGTTGCCAGTACGTTTTACCGTAAAATTCATTTTTACTTCAATCTTTAGCGAAAAAAAAAATCTGATATACCATAATTTTTTCATTAATATTTACTGTAAAATCACTGAGCCAATGTAGTTAAATAAATATTATAGTATAAATTACGGTAAAAAACTTTAAGGTAAAAATGGGTTTTACGATATGAATGAATATTATGGAAAAATGGGTTTTACGGACGCTGTACTTAAGGTGACAGTACTTTTTAGAATAATTTCATCCGGAATTTTAACAGTATAGCTATCGATTAAAATTTGATTGATTTTTAATAATTAATGTTTATGTTTTTTATTTATAAAGTAAATTAAAAGTTTTTTTAAGGATTTTTACACGAACTCTTCTTAATAAAATATTACCAATTAAAAAGGTTTTATTTCGTAAAAGTTTCAATGATTTAAACTGTATATAATTTATGTATGTTAAGTAGTATATATAATATAATTTTAGAAACAGCTATGAAACTTTTAGAGAAAGTATTAACGTGTTTACTTGCGTAATAAATAATATATTTTTATTCACAATGAAAGAAAACACGTTGGACTTCTCATTGCAAAAGCTCCAAAGATTCAACAAATTCTCAAAAAGTCACTATTAATATTTAATTAATCCTTTAAAATTTTAACTACTTTTATAAAGGTGAAAATTTTTTTCTGACAGCATTGAAACTAGTTTTAAGATTAATAAAAAATCAGTATTTATAGGGATTTCAAAGATCAAAAATCATTTTTCCATTTATAAACTCGTTTGTTTTCCCTTATGCAATATGCATGCATAAGGGAAATAAGAAATACTTTATGCATGCATAAGAAATAAAAATGCATGCATAAGAAATACTTTTCAACACGAAGTTTAAAGTGAAAGCAAAAAAAGAATCCGATAATCGTCGGAGATTTCAGAATATTTACTTCCAATTTAAAAGAAGTTATTTCACTGTTAGTGAGAAGTACATAAAACATCTTTATGCATTTGAGATTTTAAGTTGAATGCAAAAAAAATAATGAAATAACTTTTTTTTTTAAAAAATACACAATTTTATAAATTCGTAGGAGAAATAAAAAAAAAATTGTTTGTATATAACTATTCGAGTGTATGATTCCTAATAATAGAAGTTATACCTCTAATAATGTAATTATAATTTGAAGATAGTTTTGCTTAAAAAATATTATAGATTTACTTATTTTCTGATTTCTTTTTTGACAGGTATTTTTAACCTATAATATATAAAAAGGAATTTTTATACCTCAAATCTCTTGCGAAAGCCTTCATAAAATTCTTACAAAAGTTAATTGAATTTTTCTTTTTTTTTTCTAGACATGAAGAAAAGTAATTTCCCAAAACAAAAATTTGTTTGTTAAATTTTTTTTTTATGTGTTTACTCGGAGGTGTGTTAGATAATAAGTTGCACCGACGAATAAATCTTAATTTGTTTTCTATTTGCTTGAGATTTTTTTACAAGATATTAGATACTTTCATATCACTATATTCAAATCGGTGATTGGTTTCTTTCACCAAGCTACAGTTTTTTTAGTGACATTTCTGAGTGACATTAAGAAACTATTTTTGACGTACACAAAAGCGACTATGTATGATTGTCGACATTGACAAAATTTCGGACTCTCACGGAAAACTGAATGAAAATTACAAAATGCAAACAGAAAAGTACCCTTTCTTAAAGTTAGCAACAAAATTGAAGATACAGAAAAGATTTGTTAGTTAGCTTACTTAGAAAAGTAACTACAAATAAATCTTACCAATCAGTTAGAAATATTTGTTCTACTTTAAACATGCTATTTGTCTAAGTAATTGGAGTTTCAATTAAAAGATAAAATAAAATGTGAAAGAAGTATGAAAAATATAAGAAAAATACGAATGAATTAAAAAATGTTCAGAAATTAAAAAAAAAACAAACATTTCATACCTACTTCAAAGTAACTATATGATTATCATGATTCATCAAATTTCAGAATTTCACAATAAAAATATTCAGATATTTAAAAGAAAAATATTTCATACGTGCTTCAAAGTAACTATATAATTATCAAGATTCATCAAATCTCAGAATTTCGTAATAAAAATATTCAATTTAAAAAAAAACATTTCATATATGCTTTAAAGTAACTATATGATTATCAATATTCAGCATAATTTCGGAATTTCATAATAAAAGTATTCTATTTAAAAAAAAATTTCATATATGGTTCAAAGTAACCATATGATTGAGCAAGTTTCGGAATTTCATAATAAAAGTATTCAGATAATTAAAAAAAAGCTTTCATACGGGATTCAAAGTAACTTTATGATTAGCAAGATTCAGCAAATTCGGAATATCATAACAACATTAAAAATTAGAAAATACAAAAAAGATCTAAAATACACTCTCTTAAAAACTAGTATGAAAATCTAAGAGATATAAAATATTTATACAAATGACTTACATATAAAAATGAACCTTAAAGAAAATCTGTCTTTTTTGAAAGATGTTATCGCTCTTAATTGAAGATGTATATAATATGCAATAAGTATGAAGAAAAAAAAACCCAATCCAAATGATTTAATACATAATGTGATAAAGTCACTCAAGTCAAAATATAATTGTGAATCATAACAAAAATCATTGTCTTCAACTCTGCATTATCATTGAATTCTGAGAATAAAGATGATGCAAAAATACAAAAGACATTAAGTCCTAGACAAAATATTTATAGGTCAGTAACTTCATTTCTAGTATTTAAAACAAGGCTGCGTCTAATATCGTCTTATCGCTTACGCAAGCGTTATTCTAAAACAGGAAATTCTATTTTTATTTATTGAATTAGTATTCTACTTAGTATAAGTTCAAAGAAATCATTTTTTAAAATTCAACTTAGAATTTTGTTTTAAGGATTTTTTCTTTTTCATTTTTTTGCAAAAAGAATGGAAAGAACTTCTTATAATGAATTTTTGTACAGTTAGGATATTTAAAAAAAAAAAGAAGAAGTACCATAAAGCAATACGAAGTTATAAGCTTTTCTTTGACAACCATTAATACCTTTTTTAATTATAGGTGTAGGAGTTTTAAACGAGATCAAAAGATTATTTTAGATTTCTTGAATATTCCGAAATACCATTAAATTCCTAAACCAAAATTATTAATAAAAATGTTTTTCAATGATTTTGAACCCAGTAGAAAAAAAATAGATTTTTCTAATTTTGCATTTTTTTGTTTTTGTTTCGGATGTTAGAGATCGCTTTACAGAACTTTTTACTTTTGGCCAATTCATATTTTTTAAGCCTCTAAAATAATTCTGTTTGAACTATCACTACATTTTAAAATATCTCAACTTTTTTAGTAAACTTTGTAAGTTGAAATATATTGTTTTACTAAAAAATAAGTAAATATTACCATAATTATCTACCACTATATCATTTGTAACCATTTGCCTGTGGAATATATTTAAGAAAAACGTGCCAAAAATGGAATTTTTTTTCTATTTAATTTCGCTCGTTACTATCACCAAACTGTTAGGAATAGATTATTTAAAAAATTAAACAAACTAACTGCTATTTATATATATATATA